AGATGTTCAGACAATTACTTATAAGTCTGATTGTGTATGTGCAGCCATATACTTGCTAAAGGATGTCCAAGTGCAAGCTATCTTTGGGCCACAAATGTCTACTCAAACTGATTTTGTGATCGACTTAGGGAACAGAGTAAAAGTCCCTATAATTTCTCCAGCAACAAGTCCTTTACTTACAGTCAAGGAAAATCCCTTCTTCATCAGAGGAGCACTTCCTTCTTCCAGTCAGACTAAAGCCATTGCAGCAATTGTTAAAAACTATAATTGGAGGGAGGTTGTAGTAATCTATGAGGAAAGCCCCTATGGAACCTGGTAGATACTTCAGTAATTGAGTCATCAATGCAAGGTGTTCTGGGTGTAAAATCTTATGTTACAAGATCAAATGAGCTTGACATGTTCACCAAGAGATGGAGAAAGAGATTTCGTCAAGAGTATCCAGACATGGACCAAGTAGAACTCAATGTTTTCGGGCTATGGGCATATGATAGCATCACCTTATTAGCAGAAGCAGTAGAGAAAGTGGGCACTACTGCTATCCCAAAATTAAAGAAACCAGACACTAGAGAGAACTTAACAGACCTAGATGCACTTAGAACCTCAGAAGTGGGATCTCTGCTCATTGACTCTATGCAAAACACAGAGCTAAAACCAGGACTAAGTGGTGATTTCCGTATCATTGATAGAGAACTGCAGCCGTACCCATATCAGATTGTGAATATAATCGGGAAAGGAGAGAAAGTCGTTGGATTCTGGACAGAGAAGGATGGCATTTCGCATAAACTGAAGATGAATGGTAAAACAGCTAAAACTAATAATAAGCAACTAGGGGTCATCATTTGGCCTGGTGAATCTACTATTGTTCCGAGAGGCTGGGAAATACCCACAAGTGGGAAGAAGTTAAGGGTTGGAGTTCCAGACAAAGGAGGGCTGGAGCAATTCATTAAAGTGGAAAGAGATCCAACGACACAAGCAGTAATTACAACTGGTTTAGGGCCAGATGTCTTCAAAGAAGTCATCTTATCTTTGAAATATGATGTCCCTTACGAATTTATTCCATTTCCAATAGCACATAGCCCAACTTCTCAAAACTATGATGATCTTGTTCACAAGATCAATTCTAAGGTAAAACTAACCTCTTCAGCTGAATAAC